CTTCAACAAGCCCCCTCACGTGTGACCTTCTTTTGGTCCAACACGTATTTCAATTTTAAATCAAGGTGTCGGTGAGATTTGAACACAAGACCTACCTTGCTCTGACACCATGTTAACAACCATCTACTCTAACAGCTTAAGCTGTTAGAAAGGGGGTCACTTAAATATTTAAATCCTTCAACAATGGTTTATCATATGAGGAGACAACCTGATTAGTTGATGGGATTTTTGTGGCGTTTTGGAGTTGTTTATTGTCGTGTGACAGAGTATGGCAACTTTAGAGTCCTCGACTGTTAATTCTCATGGCTCGACTTCTGTGGGTGGTGGTACCATTTTTCCCACCAACTAGCTGAGTCAGATATATTATTGGTTCTAAGGAAAAGCTAGCTAAGTCGGATAAGACATCCATAGTGGTTTGCAGATAACGCCATGGTTATGTCTTGTCTAGTCAATTCAATGCAACGAAACATAGCCGTTGGCTATATGTTTATGAAGACTGCTAAGCAAATCAGGGATACGGTACAATGCACTTATTCTCAAAGGCAGAATAACACAAAGATTTTGTAGTTGGGGCGAGATATCACCATGATTACTTAGGGTGACTCGACAGTTCAGGTTACATCGCTAGGTGTCGTGCTATTTGGGAGGAGATGTCGTATTATGATTCCTTTTACTCTTGGAAGGATCCAGAGAATGCAATTTTATATGTGAGGATTGTGGAGAAGAATCGGGTGTTCCAGTTTCTTGCCAGGTTGAACAAGAAGTTTGAATATGCTCGTTTTCATTTGTTGAGCTTGTCTTTATTCTAGAGAATGATTTTATTTGGCTTCCTTTCTTGTAATATTTAACATGTGGTCTTTTAGTATATAAATACCAGAGCTGCGAATGAGTGATTATTCTCGTTCAAGTCTTTACATACTTGCTTGTATTTCTTCTATTTCCTTGCGTGAAGATGTCTGTTTTTTTTGCATTTCATGGGACTCACTTAATTGTCCATGGTTTGTGCATCAGACACTTCCATAATATCAGAAAGTGAAATTGTAAACAGAAAGATCCTCAGGCGTGAGCTGTGAAATGGTTAGATTTCTTCCATGAAATGGCCTGATATCTAATTCCTTTATTGTTCAAATTCACCAAGATATATCTATATTTTATCCTTGAGACATTTCTTGGCAGAGAAAAAAAAGAGTATAAATTAAGTTTGATAAATAAGAAAATAGAACTCCTTTTCAAGAAATGGTTTTAAATAAATTGGCATCTGATCAATCTAGCGGAATTTTTATGCAATAGCATTCCTAAAGGACCAAAAAGGTCTTAGTAACATCTCTTTCTAATCAATTTAGATTCCAGATTAGGAAGATCAGTTTCCACAATCAGGTTTTAACTAGATTTTAACAGAAAATGTTTTGTAGTTTCATGAACAACACTATATGATCTGGAAACCTTGTGCCACATGAAGCAGATAAATGAACTTGTCTATAAGGTTTAAACAAAGTTGCCGCAATTTCTCTTACTATTTCTATTTGGAACAAAAGAAGATTTGGGTTTTGGCCTACTCAAACTGAGAGCCAAGCGCTATATTTATTTACAAGAATATGGTACGAAAAAAAGGAAACCAAATCAAAGAAAAACAGGAAAGATGCCAAAATCTACGTGATCCCATGATTATGGGGATCTTACATAAAACACCTAATAAAAGGCTAAAAATAGCTAATAAAAATAAAAATAAAAATAATGAAGATCTTCCAACACTCCCCCTTAAGCTGGAGTGAAGATATTAATCAATTCTAACTTGGTAATCGAGGAATGAAGCAAAGATGGACCCACGGATTTAGTGAAAACATCGGCCGACTGATTAGAGGACTGAGCAAAGCACGGCTTGATAATTCCCGAATGAACCTTCTCTCTGATAAAATGAATGTCCACCTCTATATGTTGAGTCCTCTTATGAAGGGCAGAATCTGAAGCAAGCATGATGGCAGACTTATTATCACAAAACAAGTCTGAAGACTATTTTTCACTTAGCCTTAGGTTCTCCAAGAAAGATCGAAGCCAGAGAATCTCACAAGTACCCTGAGCCATGGCACGATACTCAGCCTCTACTGAAGATCTCGAAATCACAGTTTGCTTCCTACTTTTTCAGGATATAAGATGATCTCCATAGAAAGTACATAAGCCAGATGTGGAACATCTGTCAGTCTTGGACCCAACATAGTCTGCATCACTGAAACAGGATAGCCCAACCTGCCTGCTAGAAGAATAGAATAACCCAAGTCCAGGATAGGACTTAAGATATCGAAGAATATGATATGCCACATCCATATGAGTTGTACGAGGAGCATGCATAAATTGGTTCACAACACTAACCGCAAAAGCCAAATCAGGACGGGTGTTGTTAAGATAAATCAATCTTCGTACCAAGCGCCGATACTGTGAGGGATCAGAAAGGAGATCTCCAGACTCAATTGATCTTCAGATTAGGATCCGTATGAGTGGAAGCAGGTTTACACCCAAGCATACCCGTGTCTCGAAGAAGATCCAAACCATACTTCATTTGCGATAAAAAGATACCCTGCTTAGATCTAGCAACCTTAAATCCTAAGCAATATTTGAGCTACCCAAGGTCTTTCACATCAAAAGCTTTAGTCAATTGAAGCTTTACTTGAGCAATCCTAGGGATGTCATTGACGATAATGATGATATCATCAACATAGACAATAAGATTGATACATCGACCAGTGGAGGAATGGTGGATAAAACATGTATGGTCAGAATGGTATCTAACAAACACCATGGATAGAATTACATAACTGGAACGGGTGAACCAAGCTATGGGAGATTGTTTTAATCCATATAAAGACTTCCGCAATCGATAGATCTTTCCAGCATACTCCCCTCAGCCCGAAAACCGGGTGGAGGATCCATGTAAATAGTCTCGAGAAGATCATTGTTAAGGAAAGCATTCTTCACATCAAGTTCATAAAGAGGCCAATTCTGAGAGGCAGCCAAAGAGACAAGCAAACGAACGGAAGTCAATTTAGCCATTGGAGTGAATGTATCATTAAAGTCTTTACCAGGAATTTGAGTAAACCCTTTGGCCACCAAAAGGGCCTTGTACTGATCAATATAGCCATCAACCTGTTATTGAACATTGAATACCCATTTGCAACCAACAGTCTTTTCACCACGAGGGAGAGATACAAGCTCCCATGTTTCATTATGTTGTAAAGCATCCATTTCTACCTTCATAGAAGACATCTAATTGGGATTCCAGAGAGCTCCAGATACATTTCTGGGAATGGAAATGGAAATGGAATCAAGTTTGCCTAGAAAGACTTATCAAAAAAAAAAAGTTTGCCTAGAAAGGCTCAGTAAGACCCGGAAAGACCATCATAAGGGATATATTGTGAAATAGGATGATCAGTACTACAAGCGAATCCAAATCTAGCAAGGGATTTGCGGTCCCGAGTGGGATACCGAGACTTAGGAATAGGGTCAGGGAAATGTAAAGGAGAGAGAGGAGATGTACCTGAACTTGTATCTGAAAAGGATGAAGGTAGTGGAGGCGGAGCATGTGGGCGGCGAGAATAGACCTGCAAAGGGGGTGAGGAAACCACAGGAGAACACTGTTCTTGAAAAATAGGAAGAGGACGAACAAGAGGAGAAGCCTCATGATCGGAAGTAGAATTTTCCAGCAAGATGGTGTTAGAAACATAAAAAGGGGTATGCTCATGAAAGGTGACATCAAGAGAATGATACATGTGTTTGTGTACAAGATCATAGCACCGGTAACCTTTTGACATGGAAGAGTATCCTAAAAAGATACATTTAATGGCCTTCTCATCAAGTTTAGTACGAGTAGGGCTACGATTCTAAACAAAACATGTACATCCAAACACCCAAGGCATGATGGAAAAAGAGTGATATCAGGCTCAAGCACTTGTAAGGGGGCCTTACCATTTAATACTCTACTAGTGGTACGATTAATGAGAAAAGTAGTTGTAAGAACTGCCGTGTGCTAGTATGACTTTGACACATTCATACCACTTAAAAGACATCGAACAATTGACATTAGTTGGCGGTTTTTACGCTTTGCCACACCATTCCGTTCATGGGTATATGAACAAGTAAGCTGATGAAGAATACCTTGTTGGTTAAGTTGAGACCAAAACTCATTGGAATTATTCACGACCATTGTCAGACCTAATATTCCGAACAACAGTTTTATATTGAGTTTTGATCATTTTGAGGAATTGAGTGAACAAGGGAAAAACTTCAGGGGCTTGCTTGGTTTGTAACTCTAAAAACAGTTCTCAAAAATTCAGATAACAGAAAACAGTTTTAGAGAATAATAAATGACAGTTCTTTGAAAACATGCATTTTTATAACTGAGAGCCAAGAGCTATATTTATATAAATAAATAAAAAAAGAATTTTTTGTGTTTTGGCTTACTCAAACTGAGAGCCAAGAGCTATATTTATATAAAAGAATATTGTACAAGAAAAAGGAAACCAAATCAAAGAAAAACAGGAAAGATGCCAAAATCTACGTTATCCCATGATTACGGGAATCTTATCTACGTGATCCCATGATTATGGGGATCTTACATAAAACACCTAATAAAAGGTTAAAAACAGCTAATAAAAATAATAATAATAAAGATCTTTCAACAGGAACATTGATCTGATCCTCCTATGATTGCTGCTTTATTTTTAAGAATTTGCGTTCTTGGTACTTTTGACTGCTTCGGATGCCTCTTATGTTATCTTTTCCATTCCTTTTTCCCCCTGTTGAGTGCATTGCTATCAATATAAATTGGTTTCATTCTGTTAATCAAGTTCTTCTTACCATCTATCCTGTGATTTATCTGTAGCCAATCTTGTATTTATTCACTCAGAATGGGTTTTAAGTGCACGACTCTCGCAATTAATTTCATTTTGCATCTTTCCTTGTTCTGATCGATCCCTTTGTTTTCTTGTATGTGGATTTTTTCATGACAGGCATGCATAGGTACTAAAGTGATAGCTAGTGAAGCTTTATCTGCAATTAGGAAGGATGTTCTATCTAAATGCTATGGTAAGATGAGTAATCTACCTCTTTTGATGTGAAAATTGTCAGCCAAACAGATCTTTGTCATATCCAATTGATGTTCCTAGGGAATTTCTATGACAAAAGATCTTGAGGAATTTGAGTCATATATCTCATTGGTTCTGGAGAACTGTAGTTGTTGCTTCTCCTGTCTTGTAGTATGTAATATTTCTTCCATTGAACAACTTCTCGAAGTTCTTCTTTTTAAATGAATATAGAAAGATTGGCCGGTTTTGTTCATTTTAGGTTCAATGTGTTGTGATTTTATGACATGAATTATGTCTAACTTTAATTATTCTTGTAGGTGGGGACATTACAAGAAAAAAGAAATTGCTTAAAAAACAGGTTATTTTCTTTTTGCATGCCTAAATATTATGTTGAATCTCTTCCATTACCATTGCACTGATGTCAAACATTAAACAAAGATCCCTAAATTCGTGTTCTATTATAACTGTATCTTGTTAACACTGTTCTAAAGAAAGTGACAAGGATGACATGCTTTGCTCAAATAATCTGGAGTATAAAGGAGGTCAAGGACATGCTTTGCATCCATTTTATGCCTACTTGAATTGATATAATGGTTCCAGGTTTCATTTTTGTTTTAGTATGACCGGTGTTTACTTTAAGTTTCTCGTTACCTTCTAGGAAAGTTGGAATTGATGCTCCAATGAAAGCCGAGACCATTTAACTATATTTAGTACAAAATTCAAGATAGGAAATCTTAGGGCCCGTTTGGCAACCACTTTTGCTTTGACCTAAAGTAGAAGTAATGTTTCTGTTTTAGAATATGTTCAACACTATTTCGAAACTTGTTTGGTAACATAAATTTGTTGCAAGATTTTTGGAAGCAAAAACTTGAAAGCATGTTTGGTAAAAAGTGTTGTAAGTTTGAAAAATTAAATGGCTAGTAAAAAATGTCATTTTGGATTTATTTATTAATATTTTTTTGAACACTGATTTGAAAGCACTGTTCAAAAACATGAAAGCAACCAAAAGCATCATTTTTATGCTTTCGACCTCTTTTTCGGAAACACTTTGGTATTATTCAAATGACAGCAAACGTTACCAAACATGCTCTTGTTTTTGCTTTGCTATAGTACAAATTAAAGGGGATGATAATTTCTAATTTCCCCATAGATTTATAATTTCTGTCCCGTAGCCAAAAAAAAGAGTATTAATACAGAGTAGTGATTGTAGTTTTGTAATAGCATCATTCATTACATTTGATCATGGTTAAAAATTAAACTTGTTGATTTTGGAGTTATGCTGCCATGGATTCAGTTAAAAATTGAGAACATTACTGTAGGAAATTACTTGGCTGTGCATAAATTGATTATCTTTCTTCTCTTGTCGCTATCAGGCTGAAGGAAAGAAGAGAATGAAGGCAATTGGGAAAGTTGATGTGCCTCAGGAAGCTTTTATGGCTGTATTGAAACTTGAAAAAGAGGTGTTATGATAATTTTACTTGTTCGCTTGTAAAGAATATTGGTGACAATTTCAAGAAAGATTTATTTGATAAATCATTACATTTTGAATAAATAAGTAATCAAGTTTTTGGTTGTATTATTTGAATTATGAAATCCAATATCAATGTAGTACAGGAAAAAGCTCCAATGAGGGCACTCTCATTGTCCCAAATTATATTAGCATTTTAAGGTAGGATAAGTTATGTATGATTTGGTTTAATTTTATTTATTCAAGAACTAAACGGTGGTATTATTTGTAGATTTTCTTAAGCTGTACACCACCTTCCAAATTGGCGAAAGAAACTTCTTGTGTCCAACCACAAAATTGCAGTGCACACACGCACGTGTGTGTATATATATATACACACACTGTGGGATCCTAGTTTACATCTTTCTGCTTTTATAATTTCTACTTCGTTGTCTCCCTCTCTTTTACAGTAAACAAAAGCTTTTATTCAAGCCTCAAACGGGAGGCAAGGTTTGGGGGCTGGTACTCACCTGCTCTGGGGTGAGGACTGAAACCTCGGTTGGTGTTGCCATCCCTATACATATATATATCATAAATGATCTCTTGTTCTTAAATATTTATGATACAACTAGCAAACACAAGCTACAACTCAAACATTTACCTAATAAGCAAGACTGTAATTGACCAAATGCATTTACTTGGCTATAAAGGAGTACATAGTATGCATTAGAAGTCCGGTGCTTAAGCATATCACGCAGCTTTCGAAGAAAACCAATTAACCAATTCTTGGCAGATTGCATGACAAATAGAGTAGATTTTAGCAGTTTTTTGGTGAAGAAAAAAATATATATGCAAAATTCTGAATGCAAATCAAAGTAACATTTACTTTCAAACATGGGTACAATGAATCTTGCTCTTTTATATTGTCAACCTAAATGTGTCAACATAAACAATTGAATAAAATGTTTGTGTGTGTGTGTGTGTGTGTGAGAGAGAGAGAGAGAGAGAGAGAGATTAAATTCACTCGGTTATGTCAAAACAGAGTTTAGCTTCATCCCAAGGACCATTGATCTCAAACTTGTATTCCTGGATCCTTATAAGCCAGTAAGGACACACCACGGTAACGAAAACCAAGACACCCAACAACAGCACAAAAAGTACCCTGTGAAACCTATAGGCAAAGGCCAATGTCACAACCATCAACCCAAACGACAACCAGATGTGCAACCGAAAAGAGTACTTCTTGATACAATAAGTGATTAATGGAGCAAAGAGGAACACTTGCAAGGAGAATAGCACAATTGCAAACACATGAAGCCTAGATGGGAGGCGAGAAGCAATAAGAAGTGAAGCCACGATGGAAGCATTTGATGAGATATTGCTTGTAAATGTCGGATTTTCTGGAGCCCCCGGAGCTCTTACCGTGGATCCTGAGTAGTCATGGAGGAAGAGATGGAGTATGATAAGCGAAACTGTTAGTGCCCATATGGAGTCCGAGCTTATGGACCAGGTAAGTGTGTGGTAGATAGGAGACAAAACGTACAATCCGGTTATAAAGAAAGAGATTTTGAGAACGTAATTCAGAAGAAGATTGAAGTAAAGCATTTCTGCAGTTAAAAGTAGAACAAAGAAACCTGATCCAAGAAGGCTTACATCTAGAAGTAAGAGAGAATTTTCATTAATGGTTGATTGAAGAGTGTAGGCCCAAACCAAGACCACCAGAGTGACAATGCATATGTATTGAGAGATGGAAACTGAATCTAGCATCACCTTAAGTATATCACGTTTAACAACGTTGGCATTCATGACCATATATTCAAGAAAAGATTCATCTGTATGGTTGTCATCAAAACCAGGTTGCATCCCTCCATATGCGACTTTTCTCCATTTGAGTTGGCTCGGACAAGAACTTTCGATGATACTGGTCGCCATTTGGACTGAACACTGAATGATTGTGTGTATACGATAGTAGCAAAAACCAAATTTCAAATTCGTTATGTGAATCTTGCTCTTGTAGTGATGTTCAAAAGTGTCCAGGATCTAATAGACAGCATATCTCTGATTGAACAATTTTGCATCCCCATGATCACTGAAATCGCAGAATCCTGTTCAGCCAAACAGGCTATCAGGGGTCCATACCTATGTTGTGGAAGTTAAGAAGTTCAACAATTGCAGACCCAAAAAAACATTAAAGTAACTCCATAGGGATCGAAATTAACAAAAGCAGTATATAATGAACTCGAACAAATTAATAATTACTGAATCCATACATCCCCTTAAAAATCCTATGGTAAAGCAGACCACCATGTTTGAATGAGATCCTATAAAAGCAATTTTTGACTGGTTTTGTAAAAATGCACAATTAACAAAAAAAACCATATTCCAAAATGCAAGTAATCAAAAAACAACCTGCATGCCTCAAAGTGACAAAGAGTATATTCCGAAACTTCAATTGAATTGATATACTCCATCTTTATATTATATGATTATATCAACATTTATACACTGATTAATGGGTACTTTAGTAATCTGATTGGCAAAATTTAAGTTAATCTTTTTCAGCCCAAATATTCACTCAATAATAAAGATATGTTTAAATAAAATTTATTTGAAAAGGGGTGAAATCAAACAAAAAGGAGTGCTAGAAGTTGAGTATCATCAAAAAGTATAGATATTTTTTTTGCACATTAGTGAAAGGCATTCACTTACGCATTTTAACAAACACGTCTTGTGCATTTTAACAAACACGTAGACAAACACAACATAAGGCTGTAATTGTAGGAAAGGATAATGGATTTTATATTCATCTGTATACTCTTCAACAGGGAGTGACAATGGATTTTATATTCATTTTATTATTAGATTATTTACAATATATATGGTAATTATGTAGAGCTAAAAAAAAAAAAAAAAAACTCAATCAGAGTTATTCTATTTCAAAACTCTATCAGGATCCAGAAATAATATAATAAGAAGGAAAAATATAAATTAAAAGTGTCAGTGAAAAACGAAATTAACATTTCATAAATGCAGCTCAAAGATTGAGAGAGAGACAGATAGATTGCACTGTGGTGGAGAACGACGACTATACCTGGAGTAGCTCGCGGCGGAGAGGAGAGAGAGAGTGGTGGAGGATCTTCTTCTCTCCGGTGGCCGGTGGAGGGGATCGCCACTGACGGTGGAGGAAGTCGCGATTGAAGTAGGAGGAGGTCGTGAACTTTGATTGATCGTGAATTTGGGGGTCGATCGGATAGGGACAAAAAGTAAAATAAAGAAATGTAGGGGTTAAAATGGGAAACGTGTTTACAGTCTTATACGAATATTTAGGATCTCACTGTGCTAAAAATAAAATTCTAGTTAAAAAAGGGCCTTCTACGGCGACGTTTTGTGTATGTAAATTGGGTGCCAGCTCAGGAAAGTGAATATAACTCATTATTTTAATACGAAACACTAAATTCAGGGGCAAACAGTAAGTTAACATAATTAACTTAATAATCCAATGGTAATCAAACATAAACAAATGGAATTAGGTTAATTAGGATACAAAAATAATATTGATTTAGAAACTGAACAGTTCGGAACTTTCTATATTCCTTCCCGCGCAAATTTTGTAGGGCATCCGAGGAAATAAACAACCATCCCTCTCTCGCCGCCTTTGCAAATTTTTACCCAACATTGATTTTCCTATTTCTCTATATATATATATATATATATTTTTCCCGGCGAATTCGACCATCATCGGGCATTATTTGGCGGGGAGACATCCATGTTCATTTTCTCCTCGTTCAAAACCCTAGATGAGGTAGTTTTTGAATTTAGATTTAGATACTTATTTTTAAATAAACAATTTGTGTTATGAAGGTGATTTTTCGAACTTTTGAAACCCCCGTTAATTTTTCAATTCGATTGTACTGTGATTGAAACCTAATGTTAGGGTTTCAAAATATAGTTTATTTATACGATTTGATACGAAATTGACTTGTAATAAATTATTACAATTAAATATTTTTTTGTTTATGGTACAATCAGTGTGTAATCTATTTAATACTTCAAATTTCCAAAACCCCTAAACTACTCTTCAATTGGACTGATCAAGAGTTGATACTTAAGATTAGGGTTTGAAAATATTGTTTCCTTATCTCAGTAACGAATTTAGGTGCATTTATAGTCATTGTACCCATTTCAGTGAATAACACCCGAATTTAAGTGCATTTATAGTCACTGTACCAGTTTCAATGAATAACACCCTTATTCTCGAAAGCCATTACCCAACCTACTTTTCAATTGGACTGACCAAGAGTTGATACTTAAGATTGGGGTTTCAAAATATTGTTTCGTTATATCTCAGTAACGAATTTGAGTGTATTTATAGTCCAGTGTACCAGTTTCAATGAATAACACGTTTATTCTCAAAAGGGTCAAATGTAAAAAACACCCCTCAAGTATGTATACGGTGCATATTACACCCCTCCTGTACAAAAAACACCCCTCAAGTTTCTATTTGGTGCAATCAAGTCCATCTGGCACATTTAAAACAAAACTTGACTAAAGTACCCTTAGTCAACAATTTTATAAAATATGTAAAAATACAAAATTTTGTAAAAGGACCAAAAGGACAATAAACAGTGACTCTTTTTGCACACCCATTCTGCAATTCGGTCTGGGTTATGGCAAAGGAAAGAGTGGCGACCATGGGTATGAAATTGGTGGTGTTAAATGGGCAGTATAGAAGGTCGAGGGTCGTGGCGCCGCTGTGTGGGGGTATCCGGCGAGCTTGAGATTATCTTCTTGGACCGCCTCGGGGCAGGTCATCAAGCTATGGACAAGTCAGAATCCGGTCTCCTGTGTATCCACGAGCACCACCGGCCGCTGTGGCTCCACTACGGCAGCTCCAATTTCTGGAATTAGTGATACAGGCGGCAGAATTCTCAACCCCGGATCACAAGCAAGCCAAATCGCAAAATTCTCAACACATATATTGATTTGCAAAATTCTCACCAAATCTCAATATAATTCTCAACCCTAGATCACAAGAATTGATTTGCAAAATCCAATCGAAAGCGAACCCAATTGCAAAACCCCTTGAATATTTTTTTACGATCAACAATATAATACCAAAACAAGAAACTGGGATTTAGCTGAGTTCAATGACAAAATCAAGATTGAAGTGTCCAATGATTTTTGGCCACCCGCTGTTTCCACCTCCGACCGTCCCAATCGCCTGCTTCGGCGAGAGCCAGAAACCTCATAATCAGAAACACCGATGAGCAAAGACGATGCAGGGAACTTGGAATGGCAGTGCAGCGATGGTGACAGAATGGGCCAACTTTGACCTTGCGTCATGGCACCGGCGGGCAAGGAGAAGCTCGGCTATGAGCTTCTCGGCTTTGAGCGACGAGGAGCTCGGCATTGATGATGGAGGCAGCGGCGAGCTCGGCTTTGATGGAGCGACGATAGAGAGGACGGATAGTGGTGAGAATGGTGAGAAGACGGGCTCGGCTGTGGAAAGCTCAGCCGTGGATGACTCGGCGGCGAGCTCGGCCAATGGAATCAGCGGCCGGCTAGAAAAGGAGGGCTCGGCGATGCAGCGGCGGTGACGGCAGATGCGCTGTGGAGAGCTTGGATTGAGTTTTACACACAGTAGAGAGAGAAGGATGAAAATGGATATTTTGGGAAGATTAAAAGGGCAAAATGGGTATTAGAGTAATAATTTATGTTAAATTTCTGACAGAGGGTTAATTTTATACAATTTTAAAAGATTAGGGATATTTATTACATACTTTTTTAAATAAAGAATAAAAGTACTACTCAAAATATACTTGATGGCAGTTCCCTTCTGTATATTATTCATATGTTTGCTCTTTTGGTAGCTCAGATGATGTGATCTCATGTCCTCCTGTCTCTGCCTGCATGTGTGTCTTGCCTTTTCTTTTCGCCTTTTTGTATTGTTATGCCCTTTTATGATTTTCCTATTCATGGTTTTTACTATTTATACAGGGTAGGAAAAAAAAAAAAAAACATTCGTTGTCCTTTTCCTCAACTGTAGTGCTTTAACATTCTTAGAATTTAATTCAGCATTGAAGATTGTTACTTTATAATCACAGATCACTTATGATCCGGGTTTGGGACGTTTCAATAACATCCAAGCACCTTAGGGCATGTAGTCCCGTACTAGACTTGTCCTTTTATCCCCGCTACAATTTACTCGGTGCTCGTGAATTTGGTCATACTTAATTTCCAAACATGCAAGCACCTTAGGGCTTGTGGTCCAATCCTAACTAAATTGGTTTACACTCTTACAATTTATTTTAGATTGAAGAACAAAAGTAATTCAGTTTCAACATACTTATTCTTTGATTTAGTACTCAGTAGTCAATTTCAAAATTCAAAAACATTATTATTTAATCAAACTTAAAGTTATTCCAAGTCATTTCATTTGAGCACATTATAGAAATAACCATTGAATAACACCCTTTGTGATTGAACTAAACACATTTTCACCATCCATATGACACATATTCTTTAATTAAACACTAGATAATGCACTTCTTTAATTTCTGCCCAAATATTCACATTTTCAATAAATTTATTCCATTTGAATGAATGATTTAGTTTATAAATGCATCTTTTAGTATTTATATTTCAGAAAAATGTTAGATGGAAGGAAGTCTAAATATGAAATTGTCATTATATGATGTAATAATATGATACAATCTGATTAATTGTAGTTAGACACCTTTCAATGGCTCCGCTTCATGAATGAAAACGGAAAGGCCAATCCACCTCATCGAATTGTAGAGATGTAGATGTTCATGCTATCAATTCATTGGATGTTCAAGTTCTGGCCACAACGTCGTCGTGCTTGTACTAAACAATGAGTCTTCCATACGGTGGAAGCAAATGAGTGAAACCGAAAAGAAACAATACAATGATCAGTTCCAATTGTTACGTGAACAATACAATGTGAAAATCAAGAGGGTGGAAAAGAAAATTCGGAAGACAATAAATTTTTTTTTCCCCGACTATTCAACAAAATTATAATTCCATTTACTAATAATGCACCCATATATTTAACAATTTGCCATAACTTGTCGAAGGACATGCAAGTGACAATGATGCCTCCCCAGTTTTTTTTTTTTTTCCTAGTTCGTACTCACACACAAATGTCTCTTCTGAGACTTGAACCCCTGATCTCTCTTTGGAAAGTAAAAGATTGATACCGTTAGACCACTTGCCCGTTAGTTCTGAGTTTTTTATTTTTTTATTTACTGTCATCAGTTTTAGCGAAGAGAAAAACTAAGCCATACGAGATGTGGGGTTTGGCCGTGTATTGAATTTGAAGTGCCACCGCATAAACCACGACTTGTGCGAGAGTTTTTGGTCCAAAATTTTGACGAGTGTTTACATAGTTTTTCTTAAAAGTTTCTAGTCTAGTGTTATTAATTACATGTTGAAAAATACTGATTTATTTAGTTTGCAATTTGGTTCACTGTAACAGGATTCAGAAGCCCCGAATGCAATTTGGTTCACTGCTCAAGGACTCAGCTGTACGTCTTATTTCAGTAGCTTATTTGTTAGGGCTGTTCTTTCTGAAATTTTAGAGAGGAGGAGTTTGTGTTATACGCAAAAATTTGCTTGTAAGTGCTCACTCATAATATAAATTTAAGTAGTGATACTCACATCGAACATTTGTTGTAAATTACATAATTCAATAATTTTTAATTAATTATTTATACCCAATACAACTAAGTGGAGGGCTCTACTTCCTTATTTGTTGTACAATTGACCAATAAAAAAATAGATCTAGCAATTGACTGTAACTTTTCGGTGCAAAAATCATTAAACTATGAATTTTGGTCTACATTTTACAACTCCATTAATCTATCATAGGGAATGCTTCTTGTACACTCAAAAAAAAAAAAAAAAAAAAAAAATCTAACCAAAGCTTGCTCATTTAGTTTTGAATTCTTGTCTTTGGTAGATGTTTATTAGAACCCTCTCTCTCACTAATAATTGATTTGTATAAGTTTTTAATAATTGATGGAGCAAATAGAGATTAGAAATATTTATTTATTGGACTATTATTTCTTATATGATAAAAATTAAGAGCAAATCAATAATAAATGTTACCCATTTGGCATGCGCTTTGTTGTAGACGTTTTTTTTTTTTTTTTTTTTTTTACTAAAACAGAAACAATGTTTTTGTTGTACAAGTGTTTTGAAAAAAAATCGGAAGCACGTTTGGGAACAATGTTTTAGGCTTTTGTTTTTGGCTTGTGTTGCACTACTGTTATGGTTTTGGGCCATGAATAGTTATCAAAATAAGAAAAAGCAACTTTTTGGTGTTTTGGTTTTGGACCTCTGTTCATGAAGTGTTTTAACACTGTGTAAAATAAAATAAGGCCTCACCAAATATGCTTTTGTTGTTAAAATCGACACCGTAACAGTCCAAAATAAAAAACATTAGAAACAAAATGCATGCCAAACGGACCCTTAGATGCAAATATGGGTTCATTTGGAAGATGTTTAATACAGCACCTGTGATTTTATTAAGTTAATCTTACGGGTGGATACTAAGACTAGAGCAAATGTTTTTCTCATACAAGTCATGTCTACTCTTATATTTGATTTTTTTATTCTAAAAAAAATTTATTTTTAACTACTTCATATTCAAGTAACATTATGCTTGTTGATTCTAGTGGTGGCAAACGGGTGAGTTTGGTTGAGCAGAAATTGGGTGAGCAAAAACGGGTCAAATTTTAAAAACCATTTTTATATTGAGCTAATTCCAGTCGTGAAATGAAAAGGTAGAAAGACTGGTCCATTCACAATAGACCCGACTTGTTTACTAAAAATTTGACCCATTTACAAAAAGATAGAATTTAGATCTTAAAATACACTCCCTCTATAAGAAGACCATAAAAATATTTTGTACATAAATTTGCCCAAGTACAAATAAATTGGGATGAATTGCAATATTATGTAACTAGTGATGCGTGAAAAGTACTCTGAGGAGTAGAGTTGTAAATGAATCGAGCTGTTCATAAACAGTCGTTCATTTAGTAAAGGAGCAAGTTTGAGCTCAATTTTCTAGCTTGTTTAGTAAACGAGCCGAGCTCAATATCACTCATTAAGACAAAAGTACATATATTTACCATTTTACATTATATCGCTCGTTAAGACAAAGGCCCCATATATTTACCATTTTACATTAAAAAAGTTTATTTTATTAATAAGGTCCAAAAAGGCCAAAAGAGTTTAATTCTTTAGCCCATGATCCAACTAAGGATTCATCTCAGATCCTCAACCATTAATTTATTTCATTAGAGCCATTGCTTTACTCATGTTAATAAGATACATAATTAACCTTAAACTGCTATGTTTGGTACGGTGGGTTTGAAGAGAAATAATAACATTAGTTACGAGTGAAAGGGAAAGGAAAGGAAACGGAAGAATGATTTTAATCCCTATCGTATTTAGTTGATTAATGAAGGATAAGAAAGGGAAGTATATGTTTGGAAAAAGAAAGAAAAAAGAATTATTTTAAAAAATTTATTATTATACTTTTTTTATTTTAAAAGATATATTGTCTCCTATACTTTTAATACACACAAACAAATTACATACCTTTTTTTACATTTATGTATTTAGTATTAAAAATAATGCAATAGCAAAATTTCAGCAACCTCGACCAAAAATTAAAAAAAACGTAAAATAGTCTGGGCACATGCATGATGGGCCACAAGAATTTAACCCAAAAAAAAAAAAAAAAAAAATTTTATGGGCCACAAGAAAAGAAAAACAAAATTTAGGGCAAATCGTTTCAGCCTCCCCGATCTCTCCGCCTCCATCTCTATTCTCGTTCTCAACTCTGAACTTACCCTCTCTGTATGTCTCTCTCTCTCTCTCTCTCTGCACTACAAGAATCAGAAGTTCAAAACCCATATATTTCAGTTTGTCTATCTGTCTGCAAGAATCAAAAGTTCAAAACCCATATCGGCATATCATTTCAGATTGTTCAAAAAATCAAAACCCATATCTTTCAGTTTCCATCGCCCGCTGTTCCAGTTCGGGTTCGCCGTTCGCAAGCTTCAGCTGTTGTCTCTCAACTCTCCAAGCTTGCCCCCCATTCCGCCGGCAACCCTCTACGACACAACTCTCTCTCTCTCGTGGATCAGCTCCACCGTATGAATCCGCCAGTAGCCCTCCATGCCACAACTCTCTCTCTCATGGATCTCGAAATATCCATAGATTGAGTCCATAAAACCAGGTATTTCATCTTGAATTTTTGTTCTTGGAATTCATCTGAATATGTGGTCATAATTTTTATTTATTTATTTTTTCAGATATTGAGATCGGCGTTCATGGTTCTTGAATAGGTGATCGTCAACGTGTAACCGAGCCCGAGCCCGAGCCGGGCCGAGCCGAGTCCGAGCTTGCGAAAACTTTAAGATAGTATCTGTTGCTCTTCCAGTATCCGTTGGTCTTCTAGTGTAACCATTTGGGTAGGCGTTCCTAAGACCAGATGCTGAAAATCCTAAGACCATTTGGGTAGAGATGATAATTTTCAGCATCTGCCTACCCAAATGGTTACACTGAAGACCAACAGATACTATCTTGTTATGAGATCACTCGTGGGAGTCCGTTCAGAAATACGAAGGGGTTTGGTTGAGTCATCACAATCGGGTTTAGGAGCTATTGCTGAATCATTTCGAGTTGATAATTCTGATTCAACAACAAATTTTTTGAATGATTCCGATCTAGCCTATTGTAGATCAATTCTTTCAATACCATAGAATCCTGCAAAAACATTTGAAAAGGTCCTCAAACGTATAAAGGACATGGGGTGCGAGTATATGGACTACAACAAAAACATGTTGTAGCTAAGCCATCATCATTTCGTCTCTCCACATGTAGCTTGGACCTAAAACTGTATCATACTTATCCATTTATTTTCATAATTTTCTCCTCTTTGCAGTATGTTTTTTTTTTTTTTTTTTTATTTAAATTTTGTCTCCCCAATCTAATACTTTCTTCATTTGTTTTTATTGCTCTATTTTCAGCTGTATAGATGCGATATATTCCCAGCTGTTTTCTATAGATTCGATATAGTTATACACATAAATTTTCACACATCTCTTCTCTGCATAAATATACTGATATTAATTTTGGGACCATAGTTAGACCTATTACATCAAAAGGATGGAATTCTTAAGCTCGAGTCAAATTTCTAATAACTCAAAGCTTATAAGTCGACTCTCTCCCTCTTTTCAAGCTATAAGACCTTTTTAGCCGAAAAAACTTTCCAAGCCTTTTTTGATTGTTTATCTTGTAGAAATATAGAAGAACTACTGTCGGCTTTGCTCACCAAGCGCATGTTGATATGTCTCATATAGTCCATTCTATTTCTGACATTAACATACACAAATCAGTGCTTTTTGAAGGTCCAGCAGGTTTGTTTCTGTCAAACAATTAGTCCTTGAAGTATATTTAATTTTAATAACCAATAGTCATTGTCCTGTAGGATGACATATTTATCTCATTTAATTTCAGGTACCAGGAAGACTTCTTGTGCTCGTCTTATTGCCAGTCGAACGGTATTCCTATTTGGCACACCATTTTCAATTTATAAGCTGTTTTGTGGCCTTGTTGAATGTATTACATTATATTTCTCTTCATTTTTAATATGCCATCATGGCAGGGTGTTCCGATGCTATTTGTGCCAACCGGAGTTATTTTGCTAGAGTATATCGACAATAGTGAACGCCTATTAGGAGAACTATTTTGGATTGCTCATAGGCTTCCTGGTGCTGTAATATTCCTTGATGGGGGTAATTCTTTAAAATTAGCTCTATGGTTCATTTATTTATTTGTTTTGGCTAATTTATTTTGGGTATATTTTTTAAAAAATATAAATTTCATTGTTCTTTTGTTATTTCAGCATGATACATTTACTCTTCCTCGTTGTGATGAAGAGTATAAAGCTACATGCAGAATTGCATCAAAGTTACTGGAAGAGGTTAATATTTCTTTCTGATAATTGTTTGCTGATATATATGCATACAGTTGGATTTATTTATTATTTTTGTTTTCTGATATGGCGTATCGAGATTCTAGAAAGCCTATATATATATATATGTATATATATATATATATATATTGATAATTGTCGTAACTAGAAAGCTATATGTGTATGCTGATATTGACCTTGGGCTGTTTTTATTTTCTGCTGCAGATTGAAGATATTGAACATGATGAAAAATAATGGTCATTGCTGCAGCCAGTAGTACACACAAGCTTTATGGAAATTTGTTAAGGTATTTAGGTGGCAATTTTTATTTATACGGCGGTAATTCCCAGGTTTTCTAACTTGTATTTTATTTTATTTTTTATTATTATTTTTTTTTCAGTGAGGATTAAATTTGACCTACCTGATTAGGGGAACTGCCAAAAAATAGCTTTGCTATTTGCTAAGCCCTTGACAGCAATTGAATTAGCTGAATTTGCAACAAATAGTGAAGGGTAAGTTTGACATAACCATCACTGATTAAAAACTTTTGCCTTTTGTCTTTTTTTTCTTTCTTTCTTTCTTTCTGTTCTATGCATTTGAAATATGTTTGGTTTGCTTTGACTCTAACAAACAACAAATAGTGAAGGGATACGTACTTGGAGACATCTGGGTATATCCCGAAACCTAGGACTATAAATGTCATCATTAGGGCAAGAATAAAGAATTAAGGCTTTATTTACATAATATCTTTTAGTTTCTTGTTAATTTCATGCATTCCGAATCATAACTTTCTTTGAATTAATTCTATGCATATTGGAAATTTTATTTACCTATTCACTTCACGTTCTTTTTCATGAAGAACACCATTTGTTAAATATTAAAGGGTGATCAGAGAATAAAAGGAATGAAACTCAATTTTCCTATGTAATATGAATGTAAATTGCATTTAAATGAAGTATTCAAAATTATGCAATGAAGATTGAACCTGAACATTATAATCAAGTAAATTCCAAAAGCCTATATTTAAAACTCGGGGGGAAAATGATGACTCTCAGATTCCAAACTAAACAAAGAAAAAATTATCAAACACAATAAACATAGAGTAGAAACATAGAAAGAAAAAGAAAAAGAGAAAAGCAAATATGGATAGTCATAACTATAAAGCAAATATGCAACCAACAAAATTTATGTTGAGATCAGTAAAATCGAACCTGCATTTTAACATTAATATAAGTTTTTGATAGAGAAGGAAGTCGAGAAGCCGAATTAGAGAAGGAAATTATTTGATAGAGAAGGAAATCCTTTGGTAGAGAAGGAAATTATTTGTTATCTAAATTATTAAGCGTTTGATAGAGAAGGAAGTCGAGAAGCTGAATTAGAGAAGGAAATCGTTTGTTACTTTTGAAGTATGAACCCAACCTCAAAAATCCTAATTTAATCTAAAACCGTAACATTAATAAAATTAAAATCTCTAAATTATTAAGTGTTTGAATTGTTTTGTACCTTTCGTCTACCAGAGCAAAATTGAACTTGCATTTTAACATTAATATAAGTTTTTGATCGAGAAGGAAGTCGAGAAGCCGAATTAGAGAAGGAAATCGTTTGATAGAGAAGGAAATTATTTGTCACTTTTGAAGTATGAACCCAACCTCAAAAACCCCCAATTTAATCTAAAACCCTTATATTAATAAAATTAAAATATCTATATTATTAAACGATTTGAATTGTATCGTATCTTTCATCTACCAGAGCAAGCGTTCATCAGACAAAGAGAGAGAGATTAACTGCGAGGGTGTAGAGAATGCTTGCTGCTTGCGGCCCAAGCGTGTGCTTGCTTCTCAAGTTAGGGTTTTATTCAACTTTTAGGAATTCATCTTATATTTATTTAGAGTGTCAAGTGCTAAAAAAAAAAAAAAAAAAAAAAAAAAATTCTCATTAAACTATTCAATCATTGGAATTCCCTTGGAACTACAAAATGCTCTCTTTAATTATTAATTTGTTGTAATTAAAGACAATTCCATTACAAAAGATAATTTTATCTTTTTCTTAGTAAATTTGTCATTTTTATTAAATATTTTAATTATTGTTTCTCTTATCTAAATCTTAATTATACCATTTACTTTAATTTTATTATTAATATCAATTTATCATAAAAATAAATAGATTTGTAATTACCATTTTCTAAAATGATTAACTTACTATTTATTTTTCATACTATATATTCATGAAAAATTAATAAAATACTTAAATAAAAATACATTCTTTTTCATGCAATAAATTCATGACAACTTAAGAAATTACTTAAATTGTTTTACAATTTTACTGCTGGATATATTTATTTAAACTGTTAATTTAAAAAATTAAAGGTAAATTTATGCAAATTTAATGGAGAATATATCATCAAATTAATATGATTTTTTTTCATAAATTATTTCAATAACAAAAATTGTTAAGTGTAATTCAAGAGGAAAGGGCATAATGTTCTTTTAATGAAAAATAGCTTTTAGGCATTGGGACATTTTGCAAGAAAATGTGATATTTCATGGGGTATTATGCACAAAATATATTTCAAGTGAGTAATTTGCAAATTTGAATATAGTTTAGTGTGTTTTTTTGCACTTTATCTTTATTTATATTTTTAAAAGTGTTTCTAAATTTATTTTTTATTATTTTTTTTTTTTATTTATTTTTTCAGTTAACCTTTTAAGTCTTTTTTTGACTTTAATCCGGTAAGTCTGTTTTTTTGGGTAAATAATTTTCTAAGTCTTTTGTTGGCGAAAAATCTAGGGATTATTACGTATAAATAATGTAAATGACTCATATTTACCATTGATTTAGTCAAAGTTTCATAATTTCAAAAAAAATGAAAACATGAAAAAATACTGTTTATCCTCACTGAGGTACCACTTTTAAGATCATATCTGAGCTTTGGGACTAGATATTTGAGATGGTTCTTTGGTTATTGACATATCCACTCAATTAAAATTTATTAATCCACTTAATATTCAGGTTAAAATTTTAGGTAGAATGGGTAGTCATATTATTTTTAATTGGTCAATGCATGCTTAAATTTAAGAAAGTGTGATACTCCACTTCTTTATCTCAAACATTAATAACAAATTAAATATATTCCGTCAAATAATTATATGCAACTCTTCAAATCAAATATCATTACTCTTATATCACCAATGACTTAAGAGTTACGTTTAATGGCATGTTGGCATACTTGTGTTGATTATGATTTTCTTGATATTCCTGTTTAAGATCTCGAATTTCTTTATCTATTATTTGCTTGTTGATTCAAGGGAGCCCAAAGCAAATGCTTTAGGCATTTTTTACTGAGCCATTGTGCTCACCCATTCTTTAACATTTTTATGACATGGTAAGGAAATTGTAGAAGAAGCACCCTGCAAGCTTAGAAATCGTTGATGCATTTTGTTATTCTTTGGAAATGTAATTACATAGACAATGGAATCATTTAATCTTATTCTTTTGCTAGATTCATGTGAAGCTTTTGTAATCATGGCCACGGAGGCCTTATTGTTTTGTAAATCTATTCTTTTGGATAATGAGTATTCTTTTGGGATATGTATGTAATGGATCATGAAAGTTTTCAATCTTTAAATGATGAATCAATTATCTTTGATGATTATACGTGCTTATGATGAGGTAGATGATATTTTGGAACGTACATTTTTGTGATTATTGAGTTTGGGATGCATATGAATGGGTTTGGGAAATTCGATCACGTGGGTTTTGTGCATGATCTAAACGATGAGATGGGGTCATCTTAACGTTTAGATCAGATCTGGGAACCATTTATGCGAACAGATGCATTCATCTGCCCATAGAGATGATCCCTCAGTTTGACACCCTCACTGGATTTTCCATCTATACGATATGATGGACCATCTGTGAGCACATATGATCCAATATTCACTGTTTGACCCATATTTTTATATAATTACCTGATTACCCCTAGATTTCACCCAAAGCCTATAATAGCCATAGAAAATGATGGTTTTATCCCTAAAGAGTTTGTAAGCTATAATTTAACGTAGTAAATGACTATTTTACCCTTTTGGGATTTTAAACCATTATTTTACCATGGCAAATGACAATTATACCCCTACAAACTCGTGAACTACTATATTAATGTGAAATGAACATAGTACCATTGTTTGTCATACCCGGTTAGTGATTTGGATCCTCAGATTTGGGTCATCACAATTTATTTATATTTTAAAAAGAGTTTCTAAACAAAAGTTAATTTGCTTTTTTACCTTAATTTGTTAAGTCTTTTTTTACATTAATTTGTTAATAAGTCTTTTGTGGCCAAAAAAACTGTTATAGCTCAATAAAAATATTGTTTTTTTTAAGTTAATTTTTTTTAAGGACCTACATACATACATCACGATTGGGTGAAAACAAATAAACAAAAGTTCTCTCATACATTCCGAGAAGAATATCAAAAAAAAAAAAAAAAAAACAACAACAAACAAACAAAGTATAACTTTGCCAAAAAAATTAATAACCACCGCACTAACAATTTCCATCAGAAGAGTTTCGGATTGTTCATGTAAGCAATGATTTATTTATTTATTTTATGGGAGGAGGAGTCCATACCAGTGGAGCTAAAACCTTGATAGTTACCAATGAAATTTGAACTGCAAAAAGAAGAAAAAAAATATTAACAAGAATCTTTTTTTTTTTTGACAACAGTCTAATTGTAAATATATATAATTATATTATTAAATTTAATAATCCATAATTTTACTATATTTTTTGCTAAAAATAGACATCATCAAATACGAACTCATTTATTTGTAGTATTTGAAATTATAAGGATAATTTTTTTAAAAAAGAAACAACCAATAATTATTAACCATTTGATTCAAGTGAGTAAGAACTCAAAAAAACATCATGCCTAAAGTAAAACTACTCTTGAGTACAAACAATCCCTTAAGAGGAATGCGTGAGTATTAATTATTAAAAAAATAAAAATAAAAACCAACAAGAATTGTCCATGCCACGCCTTTGATGCAAGTTCATAGTACAAAGATTAGAATCAGAACTCTCTTTGAAAAGTTCAATATATATATATATAGGTCCTAGAAATTTTCTTTGTCCTCATTTCATGTGGATGAACATGAATCTAGATGCTTGAATTATGACATTATGGCAGATAAAACACAAGGGTTTTAAACCCACCGTTCAGTCTTCAAACAATCTTTTACAAAAATACTATAAATAGCAGACCATTATATCCACTCTTAATACAGAAAAATTAGCATCAAGAAATTGCTTTCTCTGCTTCTTGTTTTTATCTTCTCAATTTAATTACTCATGAAGATTTTCTCCAATGCATTTCCCTGCAATCTCAAAACTCCACATCAAATATCTCCAAAGTCATTTACACACCAAACAACTCTTCATATTCATCTGTCTTGCACTTCTCAATGCAAAACCAAAGATTCAACTCAACCTCCATCCAATACATCGGAGAAAAAATTAGTTGAGGATTTTGCCCTAAAATATATAATAAAAATAAAAATAATATCTATGTATATATATATGATATGATATGAGAGGGAAAAGTTATGTTTTTAAGCTGACTATGAGTGGTCTCACACGCTGATGAACAATATTGAAGAGAATGTTCTGTCAGCAATACTTTTCAATCTCTTATGAAAACTTAAATCCTTAACTTTACACTCTTTGAAAATTAGAGAAAATAGCGTTAACTATAACCATTGATTGAGTGACATGTTATTTCCTCAAAAAAGCTATATCCTTTTTGAGTCTGAATTGTATATATTTTGTTTTTAGTCTGGGATTTTAACACATTTGCTCTTTACACACAAAAAAATAAAAAAATAAAATAACTTCTAATAACAATTACAGGCCAACCATATATTTGAGAATTTATGCCAAAATATCATACATGCATTACTTTTTTGCAACAAGTATTCTGTAACAGCGGTCCAAAACCACACAATAGATTACATTTAGACATAACTAACAAATTTTATTTTATTTTATTATTATTTTTTTTTCAGCTGCAAATTTTATACTATGGTATTACAAGAGTTTTTCTTTAAGAACATGTATCTTATTAAGAGAAGCTAGTCTAGAGGATCAGAGTTTGGCATAGACTACAAATGCAAACAAAATAAAAAGAAACACAATATTGCAACACACATACCTGATAGCTGGTGGAAACTCCATGCTGGAGCTGAAATTCTTCATTTCCTTTATGCACCTCCAGACGAAAAGTCCATCTACAAAGCCATGAACGAATATGGGCTCATCAAATTTAGCTTCTTCGCCCATTCTTTTTCGTCCTCTGCTTCTTTTGGCTCCTTCCAAAGGTGCTGACAAACCATTCATGATACCTTGCGACAAGAGTGTGCCCAATGATCAACCCAGCTACTAACCCACCACCATAACCCATGCATATGACAATCCAATCACTTCTATCAATTGCAAGCCATGAATGATCATCATCTTGTTTGAAGTTCGAAGGTAGTGGTGGTGGTTGCAATGCGTCTGAGTTGTCACATCTCTTCGACAAAGGGTCTCCACACAATCCTAAATTCCCCTCATAGGAATTGTTTGGAAATGTATCGAATTGCCTCCCTTGTGGAATTGGCCCTCTGAGATGATTAAAAGAGACATTGAAGATTGCAAGGAACGTAAGTTGGGATAGTTGCTGAGGTATCTCTCCTGAGAGCTTGTTTTGAGAAAGGTCCAACGATTCAATCTCCGTTAGATTCCCCAACGAAGATGGAATCTGACCAATGAGGTGGTTGTTGGAAAGATTGAGCATGTGAAGACACTTGAGAATCCCAATAGATTCCAGAATCTCTCCTTCAAATCGGTTGCTTGACAAATCAATGGCAGTGAAAATATTTAGGGTATACAAATACACAATTTGCACACCTTTGTTTGTCAGTGTCAACGCGTTAGTAAATCCATTGTCAACAACTCTCCCAATATATGTTGATTCATCACCATCAATAGTTTTCATGGCTGTTAAGATATGGAAGTAATCGAAAGATATGAAACCATTGTGAGAGATGTCAAGAATGTGCAATTTGGAGAAAGCAAAACTGGAGTTAGGGTTCCACATTACACCATGGAATCTATTGAATCGCAAAATCAGAACCTTCAATTCTGGAAGTGTTCCCAGCCAAAAGGGAAAAACATCATCAATCTGATTGTTTCCAAGATCAAAACTCTTTAGAAGTGAACAATTGACCAACGAATTTGGCACTGGCCCTTGCAATTGGTTTTGACTCAAGTTGATCATCCTCAGTTGGGTTCCATTGTTATATGTTTGAGGAATGGGGCCATGTAATTTATTGTTTCGAAGATTCAATAACTCCAGAGAATCAGAAAAACTGCCCAAACATTGAGGAATGATGCCACTTAGATTGTTATAAGATAAATCCAGGACCCAAAGAGAACTCGCATTGCAGATCAATAGTGGAATCTCCCCAGTCAATTTGTTGTTTGCGACATTATAAATGCCGATGGATGGTGGTGGGACAAGGAGTGATCCTTGCAGCATGTTAGAACTAAAGTCTAAAAGCCATAGTCTGTCCCACGGAAGGACTAAAGGAGGAGGTTGGTGAAAGGCAGTTATAAAGTTTTGAGAAAGGTGAAGGGAAGACAGAGTTTGTGTACTCATGTTCCATATCCATGTAGGCAGGGGGCCTTGAATACTGTTGTTGCTGAGGTCTAATGACTGCAAATTGTCTTGAGTTTTCAAGAAATTTGGAAACTCAGTTAAGTTGCATGAGTTCAAACCGAGGGACTCAAACTTGGGAAGCGTAGCATTGATGAAGCTACTGGTGAGCAATGTTAATTGGTTACCCGATTGATAAAGACTAGTAAGATTCTTCTGATTAAGAAACACATCTAGCTCCACTGTTCCGTTTAGGTTATTATCATCAAGATAAAGAACTTCCAGATTCACAAGTTGAGAGATTGACTCAGGAATGGGGCCATGTAACAAATTAGAAGAAAGGATAAGATATCGAAGCTGTGTAAAATTACCAAAGTAAGAAGGTATCTGACTGTTTAGGTTATTACCAAGAAGATAAAGAACTTTCAGATTCACAAGTTGAGAGATTGACTCAAGAATGGGGCCATGTAACAAATTAGAAGAAAGGCTAAGATATCGGTGTTGAGACTTATATGCCCTAGCATAGCAAATTCCTATCTGGATTATAATGACATATGTTCCTGACATATCTGAAATATTTATGATTTATATAATTGGTGAATTCAATGTATTATGTTTCGATTCACTATGAAATTGATAGTGTCCCTGTAATTACAAGAAATATTTATATATATGTATGTGATGGCAATCAATGCATGATATATAAATAGTAATTATAAATTGTTCATAGTCGGTAATTATGGATGGACTCATAATTAATTAAGACTTGAACTGAATCCGCATTAGGTTGAGATATATTGCGAGAGCCGTCGTATGCAATTACTCCCTATCACCGTCATGGCATTTGACTCTTAAGCATGAGAAAAGTATAGACTCTTTTATTAATTAATAATTACTTTGATTTGTTCGGCGGATTCTTCGGGATCCTTACACCGACACTTTGGGTAGTTATGTAATTAATAATTAGAGGGTTATATTTTTCAATATTTGCATCATTGCTACTTGTATTTATTTTGTATTGATTATGGTTGATCAGGAAGTAAATTCGAAGGCCTTCGTGTGTTTTCAGACAAAATGATTTATTATATATTTATTTATTTAAATTATTATTTTTGTCAAACAAATGTTTTATTGTGATCGAGCCAGAAATAATCAAAGGTACCAAAATAAATATATTAATTAAGTAGTCGGATTGATGGCTTTATTTATCCGATAACTAATTATGCATAGAGGGGTCAAAGTGCAATATTGACTTAGTGGTTATTTATTATTTAATTGGAGTTCAATTAATTTCTTTTAGTGGAGTAGAAATTAATTTATGAATTAGTTGAATTGAGTCCATGTACCGGGCCAATTATTAATTCATTGTAGCCAATAAAATAATAGGCCCAATGGATTCTCACTCATAGCCCAACTTGATATTGGAATTATATTAGATTTGAGACATGTGAATTAGAGATTGAGAAGGATTTATTGTTTCCTTTTCTTTACCTTTATGTTACCTATAAATATACATGGTTTATGAATATTTTAGGGGTGATTTTTGGAAGAAGGAAAAAGGAATAAATTTTCTCTCTCTAGAAAATTAGGGTTAGTGTTCTCATCTAATGGAGGCTCCCACAAGCCTAGTTTTTCAAGGTCATTCATGGAGGTTTATGAGTGATTCCTAAAGGTAAGACCATTACCAAGAAGATGGAGATCCATGGAAAAGGTGTCTAGCAAAACGGATCTACAATAAGTGAGAACATTCACTTTAGAGGAGAGATCTAAGGTTTACTCAAACCTTGATGTAAGTATTCAATCTTTTAATTGAATGATACATTATATTTTTATTTTTTTCATAAAACTTGTCTCTATGTAATGAATCAAGATCTATGAATTAAAATCCTTCGAAAAGTTTTTAAAATTAGCACGTTTCCCAACAGTGGTATCAGAGCCTGATCCAGCCGGAAGAGTGCCGACGGGGACGTCGGGCCTCTAAGGAGGGTGGATTGTGATTACCTTGTGGGCGGGTGTGCCGTGGGCGGGTGCGAGAGACACTGTCAGGCTACCACACTAGTGAGCTACGGGTGCACAGTCCCACATCGCCTGGGTAGAGAAAAGGTGAAGTGCTTATATGTAAGTGTGTCATCTCCAATTGGTATGAGGCCTTTTGGGGTGAAACCCAAGAGCAAAACCGTGCGGGCTCAGGCCCAAAGCGGACAATATCATACCATGTGGTGGACTGGGTCGTTACAAATGGTATCAGAGCATGGTTTGATTCATTACTAGAGATCATGATTTTATGAAAATCATCATTTATGGATCCAAAATTATATTCATATTTATTTTTATTGATGTATGTTGATGTATGATTTAATATGTTGATATATATTGATACATGATGATGTATGAATAATTGTGAATGAATGATGATGTATGGTTGGGCCATGGATGAAATTTATAAGTTAAATTAATGTAATTTTATTTTTGGATGAATGTAATTAAGGCTTTGATTTAGCCGTTTGAAAATTCAATGATGTAATTTAATTTTTTTCATTGTATTTCAAATTGTAATTATTTATTAAAGCCATGTAATATTCATCAAAGGATGCTATGAAGTTTCAAGAAGGTCCAAAAGGGTTAAATTATGCTTCAGTAATTTTTTGAAATTTTTCCAAATTTTTTGGAATTTTTCTGGAATTTTTTGAGGTTTAATTTAATTTTCTGGGAATTTTTCTGATTTTTCTGAAATTTTTCGGCGTTTTTCCGGTGGCCGAAGCATCGCCGGCGGCGAGAAGAGGCGTCGGAGGAGGCTGGAATCAGATGTGGTGCATAGAGGGTGAGCCTGGCGCGTGAGGAACACGCGCCAGGAGGTGGCATTTGCATCACATGCTGGCGCGTGCATTGCACGCGCCAGCCAAAGGTGTATTACCTCCACGCCCGTGGAGGCGCGTCCAACGCGCCCTTGGCCCGTGCCTGCGCGTGGGGGCCCGTGCCTTCACCTGATGCATTCCCCAGGCGCATGTAAGCGCGTGTGGGGCCCTCTGGGCGCGTTCCAAGTGCTGTTTTGCCTCCGCAAGCGCGTACCAACTCTATACAGGTGTTTACAAGTCGGTGGTGGACCCTCGCACAATACTTAGAGCAATTAAATGTTAAAAGCTGATTCCATTGGCCATTTTATTTACTTTATCTGTCATTTATTTATTTATGCGATGTATGAAATGCATGGAATATATAATTGTTAATTAATTATTATTCATGCATTGGATCCATGATATTTATTTAAATGGCTTGATTTATATTAATTAAATTATGAAAATTAATTGGATTTGATTACTAATTAATTTGAGGGCACCTATTGGGAAACGCAAAATTATTTTTGTAAATTATTTTTAAAGTGTGCTTCAAATTAAATATTAGTGAATCGTTTAAAGTCCAAATATTTTCTAAATTTAATTGGATTAAAATCAAGACGTTTTGCATGCATTATATCATGTAAATAAATAAATTCAAAACCCTAATTATGAATGATTAAAAATTGAGTGGGAGTGGGGATTTTTATACATTACCCCATGGCATTCGTTATTAAAACTATTGTAATTAGATCTTCAAAAATAAGGCCACACGCATGATTTGAAGAGTCTTAATATTACAAAAATGGTTGTCTCATGAAAATAATAATATTAAATTTTCATTGTAATTAGATCTTTAAAAATAAGGCCCTACGCATGATTTAAAGAGTCTAGATTATAATGACATGATCTTTAATGTTTTATTTTTCATTAGAGTATTAATAATGTTATACACTCAATCTAAAATCAATAGTGTTAGCTCCCTAACGGAGTGGTCTACAATAGGTGATTTTAGAAAGGCTAAACATAATCGGGAATCATTTCATATAGATAGACAAGGCATTGTCTTAAGAGATATGGAGATGATGGGATTCGCCCGCCAATAGCAATAATGAACTTCGCCAACCGAATAAGTTATTGGTGTATTGGTTATCCGATTTTTCATGCAGTGGTTAAGGGACCCACATACTATTTTAATGGAAGTGCTCGCCTAATAGTAAATGAATCTCAACAATAGTAATAATGAACTCCTCCAACAGGATAAGTTATTGACATATTGATTGGTTGATTTATTATGCTACAGAGTTGAGGGACCCGCATTAATTAAAAGGGATTGTTCACCAATAATGATAATGATCTCTTATTCGATTGAGATTTATTGTATTATGTGGTTAACAAGCTCATTTTAATTTTAAATATGCATGACAGTATTAATAATTCACCTTGCATATTGTATGAATGCATTTATATTCAGATTAATTATGTCTAATCCAGTTTATCTGCTTGCTTACATATTCAATGTAACTGGATCTCATTAATATTGACTGAGAAAGGAACTTAGATATTTTATTCACAATGTAAGGGTACAAATATATTTACTACTCCTAAACCTAATCATTTTACTTTAAGATATCCAAGAGAACATTAATACTTTGAATAAGTGAAATAAGGCAAATGAGATGACTTGGTGCAATATTCTAGAGTTTACCTCGAATACGCTCCAAAGCTAACATTTACATTATTTTATTTTCTTCAAGCATCATGTTAAAATTTAATAAGATGTTTTGGTAAGATTAGATAGAGAGTATGCCAAAGTACTATGTCAGACTTGAATAGCATCAAGATAGCCTAAGGAACTCCAGTATGAAATCGAATTTTGAAAAATGATTGTTTATTATTTAAAAATTAGCTGGAGATCAATAGGGCTGACTTGGGTGGTAAGTTTCAAGTTGACATGATTATTGCCTTGTTACCAAACGCGTTCGACTCTGTTAGAGTGAACTAAATAAGGAATCAGTTTGAGTTCACATTCGCTGATATTCTTATAGAATTGGTAACAGATGAAGGGATAATCAAGAGTATGGGCGTTCCTATCAATTTAACCTAGTCTATACCATCTTCTTCTAGGCCCAAGTGGACGGACAAAGCAAAGAAGAAGGATAATAATAGGACTAGGCTAGCACAAAACATGGGTATTCAAAAAGGTTAAAGGGAATAAGGCAGTGTATGTTGAGGGCGAAGGAAATTGTTTCTTTTGCCGCTAACTATGACACTTAAGGACCAACTGTCTAAGCAATGACGTGGCATAGGAAAATATATATTTAATCATTGAGCCATGTTATGTGGTTGTATCTATTAATTCCTGATGAATAGATTCTGGAGCCACTAAACATGTTCGCAATTCATTGCAAGGATTTCAGGAATCCAGAAGCCTCGATGATATGGAATATATTTGTACTTGACCCGATGACAAGGTTGTAGCTAAGTCAGTGGGAGTATTACATCTGAAATTAGAGAGTATAAGGATATTAGTATTAGAGAACTATCTTTATGCACAGAAGTTAAACGCTATCTAATTCTTGTTTCACTTGTGGTTTATAAAAACTGTGTTGTTATTTAGTAAAATTGGTTTTATAAAATTGAATAGATATGCGATTGTTTCTGGTGCATTGAAAGATGGTTAATATACTATAATCACAAACTTTTAAGACTTGCAGGATGTA